TTACTAATGACGTCGATTATTTTATTTATTTTAAACATTTTCAATAGTGTTACTCTCAGATATTTTTTTTCTTCAAAATATTTACTTCTTACACAAATCTTTAACTATTTAATATTTTTATTTTATTTTAATTTTAATTTCAATTTTAATTTTAATTTTAATTTTAATTTTTTTCTTAATTATAGGAGGGAAAAATTGGAGACTAAGACTTTGTTGTTTGTATTTCTTTTACTGATTAAAGTTAATCTATCTATTTAGTTAAAAAATAAATTAAATTTTTAGTTAATTATTTATTGTTACATATTTGATAATTATTTTTATGCTATATTTTTAGGAAGGTCAATCTGTGTTCTTCGGATAGTTAATCAAAGAACACTGCACGTAATTAACACAAACTTCAATAATATTTTATTGCTTCTTTATTTAATTATTTTTTTATTTTAATTTTTAAAATAAAGTTTTAACTGACACTTTAAGATACTTTAGCATTTTAAATAGTTTATGCAAAGCACATACTTTTTACTTGGTAAACAAAATCATTTGTGGCGCACTCGTTCGTTCTCACCTACATAATTCGGAAATCAGAATCTAAGAATCTCAGAATCAGAGAAACAGTTTATCAATCAAAACCGAAAACAACAAACGATTCATATAATCTCATTAATTTATATTCTAAACACGTAATCGTATTTTTGTAGGTGTCTATATCGCATTTTATAATTGTCAACCCAAAAAGAAGCACGGACTGACATGAAGACGACGATATGTAAAGCAGAAGCAACGAAATTTTCTTAAAACAGAAAATATGCGCCAAAATAAATTAAATAAAAATAGAAACCAAAACAAAACAAAGCAAAAAAATTAGCTGAAGTGTTTAATTGTTGGCAGTAACCGATACGATTTGATGCGCTACACATATGATTTATACTAACAATACTACCAACGAATATACCATTTGTATATCTCTGACACCCCATTGGGTTTTTAAAACGATTCAATTATTAAAATCCATTATGTATAGCGTAGAATAGTTCAAAACATAATTGAATGTGGGTAGTTGATGGGTTTTGAACCCCTTCTTATACAATTCCGTCTTATATACACCACTAAATTTTATATAAGCACTTCAAAAATTCGCAGATCTCTCAATAAGAGATAATTGCACAATTAAAATTAAGTATTTACACTATAAAAACTTAACTTAATTAGCGA